TACTAAGGTAGCATTAGGCTGTTAGGAGAAGTATCAGACTTATTATAAGAGGTATTTATACTTACCCTTCCAGGAAGTTACAACTCAAAAATCCTTCTCGGGAACAAGGGATGCAACACTGAGTGTCTGTCACTATTTTTCAGTGTATACAATTATGCAAGAATTCATTATAAATAAAATTATTAGTTTACTTACAAAGATCTATTTTACTAAATAACAGAGCCATACCATATACTGAAGAAGTCCTTTTGCTTTTTAAACACCACAGTATTAATAATGTAAGCTTCATGCTGTATTACTTGGTTTTAATACTGGGTGGAATGCATTTACAAACACCAGAGCAGACTGTTATCAACAAGAATCCTTCGTTTAGTGACTGGTGAGATCTAATATAACTCTTATGGTCAATTTCTGTTCAAGCAATGAGAGCTTTTGGGTGGTGTTGTTGTTGTTTTTAACTTCAGTAAGAGGTCCTCTACTCTACGTCAAACAGAACCTAACACAGTTATATATTGTGTGTCAACTTTCCTTCAAGCAAGCCTACCGTGCCTTCATTACTATTCTCAATGATTTTGCACTATATGCATCTGGGAATACACTGCAGGGTTTTGTGCTAAGACACCAGGGTAAATTCTTCTACAGCTGTAGAACTGGTTTGTCGTGGCAGGGACTTGGAGAATTGTGAGCGTATGTACGATCTGCCCGTATCCTCCCTACATATTTAGGCTGATTTTAGCCCAAGCTAAAATCCATACTAGCAGCTGTAAAGCAAGCATGCACATGCTTCAGACTTTTCTGTGTAGACAGTATGTTAGTTGGGACAAAACTAGTGGTAGGTGCCAATACTATAATGTAGACAAATTCCACTAAGGCTGCCACAAGAAACATGAAATAGCCTTTACATCTCCAGAACTATTCTAGGAAGGAAATTGGAACAATCAGGTGCCTCCATGAACTATGGGAGCTGGGTGTAGCCATAATTCTTGCACTTTTGAAAAGATAGACCCAAACTGTGATCCGGCCTTGCTTAAAGGCCAAACAGCCAAGCAAACAGAGCTGGGCCTTGGGAGAGAGGATGCAAAGACATGAGGTAGCACACTCCTTGCCCTTGCTGTTATTGGATAGCATATGCAACAGTATGGGGTATTGAGCTAATCAGACTCCCATTTTCACAACTAACTTGTGGCAGAGAAGTACCAGAGGGTGAACCAGACACTGCAACTGAAGGGCACTAGGACTGAATTCTGTCTGTTGCCCATTGCAGTATGGCAGGAGTAAGGTATTGCATACTAGGGCTGTGCAAAATTTCAACAGCTGTTTCGTTTCAGTGGTGTTTCGGGCCATTTCAGTGCCCTAAACACGGAATCCGAATCAAAACGGAAGGCTCAGAAACATCTCCGAAACGAAACAAGATATCCAAAATGTTTCAGAAAATGTTGGCATTTCAGAGCCAGGCTTGCAAGAAAACAGCTGTATGCTACTGGCCTGCTCCACAACTCGGTTCTGCAGGAAGCAGAGATCTGTGCTGGGGGTCTTCTTGTCAGCACTGCCCCGGGGCTGCACGGGGAGGGCAGCAGTGGGAGGAAACCCTGGTGCAGATCTCTGCTCCCTGCAGAGCCAGGTCACACAGCAGGGCAGTGCTGGTCTCTGCCGCATGACCTGGCTTCACAGGGAGCAGAAATCTGGGGCTGCATGGGGAGGGCAGTGGTGGTGAGGAGACCCCAGCGCAGATCTCTGCTCCCTGTGGAGCCAGGTTATGCAGCAGAGCAGTGCTGGTCCCTGCTGCACGACTTGGCTCTGCAGGAAGCAGAAATCCATGCCAGGGTCTCTTTGCCACTGCTGCCTGCCCCATGCAGTCCCACATCATTTTGCACTGCCTGGTGTGACAGGGATCAGAGATCCGTGTGGGGGTCTCCTCATCTGCACAGAGGGGGGCAGCCTTCCCCCGGACGAGCCACCCATGGTCCCATCCTGCTCCCCACTGGGGCCCCAAGCCCCGCCCAGTTGGGTAGGGCTCTGTGAAGCTTCCCTTGCAGGCCGAAACTAAATGGGACAGTGATCCAAAACACCAAAACTAATCACTGTCCTCTAAAACAGCCAAATCCGGAATGGAATTGAAACACAGCTGTTTCACACAGCCCTGTTGCATACTTCATTCTTTCAGGATGCCTCCATGCAAAATTTACTCTGAGTTGCAATGAGGCTAATATTTTAAACCTAACACCCCAGAAAACATCCCATCTAGGTTTTAGTAACAGGTACTTTTTGCTGTGTATCTGCAGTAACATTAATTGCTCTGCTGTCAAAAGCTAAAAGCTTCTGGATGTATTGTGTGGATGGGCTTACAGAATGGAGTGTCATGTCTCCATTACAAGAAATGGTATTCATAATAGCTGAATATCATAGAGGATCTTCAGGGAGGCTGCTGGAACCAAACTGATCCAGTAATTCTAGTGGTGGTTTTTGTTTTGTTTTGAATGTCTGACATATCATCATCTGAGCTAACTTCTCATCATAGGCTGTCCTTAAGTTCTGATCTAAATTAAGCAGCCCTGAACTGACCACAATATAAGATGTAACAGATGCCAGCATATCTTCAAATAGTTCTCTAGGCTCTGCTGTGTTCCAGCTGGAGTGAAAGTAGTTTCTTAATTCAGTGTCTACTCTGCATGTTGGGTCTTCCTCTCTCTCAGAAGCTTATAAGCCAGGAATGCTTAACCTTCAGCCTGCAGGTCTCCTCATGGCTTCAGAAATTTGGTGGTAGGGGATTTAGTGCTATCATTAATTGCCTCAGCTTCCAGAGCCAATACCACCACAGCACAATGCTTAACTTCTGGGCTGCAAATTAGATGACAAAGCACCATGCACAAAGTCGTTGCACCCCTTAACCAGATCTGGTGTGTGGGGCCATGCCGGACCATATCTGTGAATGGAGCTGGAAGTTTGAGCACCATGGCTAAAAGCTATTGTTTTTTTCTACCTAATTGATCCGTGTGTGTGTGTGTGTGTGTGTGTGTACACACGCACGCATGCACTGATTTTGTACTATATGCATCTGGGAATACACTGCAGGGTTTTGTGCTAAGACACCAGGGTTAATTCTTCTATAGCTGTAAAACTGGTTTGTCGTGGGAGGGACTTGGGAGAATTGTGAGCGTATGTATGATCTGCCTGTATCCTCCCTACATATTTAGGCTGATTTTTAGCCCAAGCTAAAATCCATACTAGCAGCTGTAAAGCAAGCATGCACATGCTTCAGACTTTTCTGTGTAGATAGTATGTTAGTTGGGACAAAACTAGTGGTAGGTGCCAATACTAAAACGCAGACAAATTCCACTACGGCTGCCACAAGAAACGTGAAATAGCCTTTACATCTCCAGAACCATTCTAGGAAGGAAACTGAAACAATCAAGTGCCACCATGAACTATGGGAGCTGGGTGTAGCCATAATTCTTGCACTTCTAAAAATATTTTTTTAAAAGAGAGAGAGATATATATATAAAAGGATCCTGGTGTTATCCCTACAGCAATCTGGCTGAGTCTGGTTTTGAGCCCTTTCCACCATGACAGAAACTTAGAGGTTTCTGAGAAATTAAAGTTGCCTACAGCAGCAAGTTCAACAAGTCTTGGTTGGCCACAGTATCTTGGAAGGGTTGATAAGAGAACTGGAAAGGAGAAATTACATTTGGATTTGAGTGAGCAGAACTGCTCATGTTTTTTGAAGGTTGGATACTCAAATGCAAAATGGAAATCCTTTAGTCCAACAGACTTTTTTTCTCCACATCCATTAATTATTTAGGGTCTGTATTTCTGTTGTACATACAAGTGTGTTCTAATCTCTCTAGTAGCTGTCAATATAGAGGACAATGAACTGGTACCAGATATAAAGGTTGGTTTGTTGCCAAGCTTTAAAGTAATTTTTATTTTACACTGTAAGAACATAAGGAAGATACAGTGACAGTGTTACTAGAGTTGAATCTAGCACAGCTGTTCCTTTTGCTTGTGCTACAAAAGAGCTTAAAATACTTGTTTTAGTTATTCCAAGAAGGATTTGATGCATCAATTACAAACAAAGGTTTTGTAAAAATTTTGTATGCAGACAAGTTTTCAACATGAGTTTTGCATTGCTTATTAGCACTGTCTACTGAGGACCTGTGTGCTAATTAGCTTATTCTCTACATTCAACCACATATCAGGAAAGCTTAAGCACAGGTTTTTAGAATTGTAATTTGGCTGTAAAGATGACAGATCTTAAGATATGAGTTACTTTCCCCCTTTAGTAAAAAAAACCAAACAAACAACATTTTGCATACAGTAGCCATTGGGGTGGGGCATGCCCCATGCAAACATTTAACATGGTAGTATATATAAGTGTTTACTGCAGTTTTATTTAGCGATTAAACAGGGTTTTGATGATAAAGTTATTTCATATTTTGTTTTTAAAGAGGCTGAAATAACAAAATGACTGGTCACTTTTCTACTTCCCCCTTCAGGCAAAGGGAATTGAAAGAAGGCATTACACCTCATTACAGTACTACCCCCCCCCCCCCCCCC